TAGTCAATGGCCACGATGATGTACATGTTGTTGGAGGTACCCCTCGGCAGAGGGCCGACTAGGTCAATCCCCCATCTGGAGAAGGGTATAGCAGTGCTGATGGGGGCATAGTTGACCGCTGGTCTACCGGGGGCCTTCTGGAAGTGTTGGCAAGCGGTACACCTTCGGGCAAGATTTGCACAATCACGGGCCATGGTGGGCCAAAAGTAACCTTGAACTATAAGCCTTCGGGACATGGAGAAGGGTCCCTGGTGAGCTGAGCAAGTTCCACTGTGCACTTCCTCCATTGCAACCTCGGCTTCATCTTGATGAAGGCACCAAAGGAGGGTGCCATTGTAAGATCTCTTGTATTGTAACACTTGAGATTTAATATAAATGGATTAATAGTACTACTCATACCAATAAGATGCATCTCCTTTTAAGGGAGCTCATCCGCTAAGAACTCCAAAGTTAAGCGTGCTTGCACGGGAGTAGTCTTGGGATGGGTGACCCCCTGTGAAGTTTCTCAGGGCGCGCACGAGTGAGGACAAAGTGCGCGGAAAAGGCTAGTGGCGGTTTGTGAGGACAGTACTAGAGGTCGGGAGTAACTACCTCAGGGCCCGTGGGGCCGGGGTGTTACATGTATAGCCTCCCATTCTCGAGGGTGTAGCTGGGAGCCCTCAGCTTTGCTAATTTGGCGCGGGCCTCATCCTCGGGGAGCTGCCCTATGGTGATGAAGGTGATGATATCGGAGATCCAATCCTCCGACCTGAGATGTATGTCCATGATGGGGCTTGCATGTATGCTCGAGATTCTGAGCTCTTCAATTCTTGCTATCTTGGAGAGGTGTTCGGGGGATTCGGCCGAAAGCTTGGAGAGGATGTCAGCCTCCGAGTTTTGAGCCCTCGGTATTTGGGTGAGAGAATGCGCCTCAAATACCTTAAGCAATTCCTTGGCCGCCTCTTTGTATTGTTTCATTCTCCCCTCCTTGGCCTCATATTCTCCGGAAATTTGGCCCACGACAAGCTTTGAGTCGCACTTGACGTGGATCAACTTGGCCTTCAGATTTGCTGCCAGCCGAAGGCCACAGAGGAGGGCCTCATATTCGGCTTCATTGTTGGAGACTTTGAAGGAGAAACGAATGGCATAATAGGCGCGGAAGCTTTCGGGCGTAATGAGGACCACCCCTCCTCCGCATGCTTTTGTGGCAGAGGAGCCATCGGTATAGAGGGTCCACCACTCATCCAGAGGTGCCGAAGGCTCCTCGTCCACCGCGGATCTCGCCGTGCACTCCGTCACGAAGTCTGCCAGGGCTTGGCCCTTGATGGCAGGCCTCGGGCGAATGTCTATGTTGTATTGGCTGAGGAGGATGACCCATTTCACCATTCGGCGTCCTCTTCATGCATAAAGATTTGATGATAGCCTCGGAATGCGTCGAGGAATGACATGATTTCGCATCCCGCGGTCTCATCTACCAATTGATAAATGTTCGGTAGAGGGAAGGGGTCCATAGGGCACGCCTTGTTCAGATCGGTGTAGTCCACACACATGCGGAAGGTAGGAGGCTTCTGCGCGAGGACTACATTAGCCAACCATGAAGAGTATTTCACCTCTCGGATGTGTTTAATTGAGAGGAGCATGGCGACCTCTTTCTTGACAAAATCCCTTCTCTCGGCCGAGAGGGGCCGCCTTCGTTGCTGTACTGGTTTGGCCGAAGGGTCCACCGCCAGACGGTGAGTGATGACCCTTCGGTCGATCCCCGGCATGTCCTCCGGCCCCCATGCAAAAACAACGGAGTAGGCGCGGAGGGCTTCGGTGATGCCGGTCTTCAAGTCTTCGGGGAGCTTGGCTCCAATCTTCAACACTCTCTCCGGCTTGGCCGGATCGAGTGCAAAGTCTTCGGTGTCCTCGGCAACCTCAGCCCTCGGCCTATTCTCTTCTTCCTCCAGGGCGTTGGTGGTGATTGTATCAATGCGGAGTTCGGTTTTACTAACCTTCTTAGTGAGCTGAAGGTAGCACGCCCTGGAGAGCTTCTGATTCCCCCTCGAGTAACCGATGCCGGTGGGTGTGGGGAATTTGAGGCAGAGGTGCCTCATGGAGATGACGGCTTCCAAATCCTCGAGGGTAGGACGGCCGAGGATGATGTTATGTGCGCAGTCGAGGTTAACGACGTCGAATTCCACTTCGAGCTTGGCTCTATGGGATCCGTCGCCAAATTCAACCATAAGGGTGATGACGCCTTCGGCGTTTATGCTGTCCCCCGTGAAACCGGAGAGGGGGGTGTTGATGTGCCGAAGGCTACCCCTGTCAAGTTCCAACTCCTGGAAGGTGCTGAGGTACATTACGTTGACGGAGCTTCCGGTGTCGACATAAATGCGGAGGATGATGGCGTTATTGATCTCCGTGCGGATGACGAGGGCATCCCTATGAGGAAGGGATCCCGGGGGCAGATCCGCATGTGTAAAATAGATAAGATCCGCCCTCGGCCTCTTTGTCGGGGGCATGTGGTTGACTTCCCCGATGTAAAGGGACTGAGCCCACTTCTTCCTTTGGCTCGTCGAATCGCCTCCGGTGTTGCCGCCGTTGATCATGTGGACGTGGCGCTTGTACTGGTATTGGGGTTCCTCCTCCTCACTGAGGCCCCTGTGGGTTTCCCAATGGAATGGTGCTTGGGTTAACCCACTTGTTGGCCTTCGGCGGGGGCCCTTGGTGTTGAGGGGGCCCATGTGGATGAGGGGCCCTGACGAATTGGGACAAGTGACTTGCCTGTATCAACCTTTCGATGGCCATCTTTAGCTGATGGCAGTCATCAGTCTTGTGCCCATGGTGGTGATGAAATCGGCAGTAAGGTTCGTCAGGGTTGATGGCATATACTTCGAGGGGTGCACGGGAGTCTCGCTCCACGAGGCCTCGCTCTTCCGCATAATCCAAGATGATGTTGACGGGGTGTGTCAGGGGGGTGCCTGGGTGCTCCAAGAGGACGGGTTGCGCCCATGCCTTCGGGCTGTTATTGTAACCGCCCCCGAGTCTGGCTTGGCCACCTCGGGGGCGATCGTTGTACTGCACGTCTGCACCTCGCGGTTTGCCGGAGGGAGTGGCTCTCCGGGGCGATTTCTGCCATCATTCTTGTGTGAAGGCTCCGGATTCCGACGATCCTTCTCAATCTCTTCGACCTCGGCATATCGGTCCCCCCGCTGGAGAGCTTTTGTATAATCGCGGGGGGGGATCAGTAATGAGGCTCCTCGAGAAATTTCCGTTGCGGAGGACGGTGTGGAAAAGGGCCATTAGGGTCTTGTCGTCGGCCCCATCGACTTCGATGGAGGTTGCCTCCAGCGTTCAAGGAAACTCCGAAGGGTCTCCTCCTTCTATTGCCTCACATTCAGGAGATGGGAGAAATGCTTCTTGGACCGGTGCCTCCCGGCGAATTGTGTGAGGAAGCGGTGGGCAAGTTCTTGCCACGAATCTATGCTGCCCTCGGGCAACCGATTGAACCACTCATACGCCGGCCCCTCCAAGGTGGAAAGGAACCAACGACACAAGTATTCGTCTGATGCCTCCATCATCATCATACTATTTTGATATCTGCTGTAGTGTTCTTGGGGATCCGTCTTCCCTTCGTATGGTTTGATGGGTTGTCCCCAATATTTGTTGGGGATTTTAGCCGCCAGCACCCTTGGGGTGAAAGGCGTCCTAGTGCGGAGTTGGATGAGGGGTTCGTCGGAGCCTTCGGCGAACTTGCGCTTCATCTCCTCCACCTGTGCTCGGAGGGCGGCATACTCCGGATCTAACCCCGGCGTGGAAGCCGTCGGGGGCACTTGACGTGTCTCCTCGAGTTGACGGAGGAGGGCTTCAATGATCTCATCCTTGGGGTCCTTCGGGACAACCCCTTGGGAGTTGGCTCGGAAGGATTGGGCCTGATTAATTTGGTGCCTGGCGTCGTCGGCATGGAGGGGGCGCTTGCCTTTGTCCCAGGGGGAGTTCTCTCCTCGGCCCCCGAGACGGAGCCTCCACTTTCTTGCGGTCTGCTGGTTGCCTTCCCACCGAGGCGGTCTTGGACCCCTCGGCGCTCTTGAGTTTGGCCCAACCTCTCGAGGGCAGAGGTTTGGGGCTTCTCTTTGTGACGTTTATCCTTGGATTGAACCTCTTGGGAGGCGGTGTCTTGTGCTACGACCCCCTCGGCGTTGCCAATCCGTATTACGGGATTGTTGAACAGAAGAGGGGGCGGCAGACAAGCGGCGTTCCCCCCAAAGTAGGGTTGGAGTGGTGCCTGAGATATGAAGGCTCCAGGGTTGAGAGCCATGTTTTGGACAAAGGCCGCAAAGGGAGCTTGAAGATCGATGGCCGGGGCCGGAGGGGGAACTTGGTTCTCACTCCGATCCCTCCTTCGATTATCAAGCCCTATGCGGGCATCAGGGGCAGCCTTCTGGAGCTGCTGACGGCGGTCAGCGGTGGCTTGCTCTATTTCGGCGATAGTACCGCCTTCGGGTACCAAGAGCCTGTTGGAGGCTTCGGCCCCGTTGGTTTTGCCGGGGGCTACGTGGTTCTCAAGGGTTTTGGACTGACCACGAGTTCTTCTGATATGAAGCGGGAAGAGCATGGGGCGGGACCGGGCTTGGGCCCACTTCCGTGGGCTGGTTATGGGCTGGATTATACATGTGCTGGTTAATTAATTTAATTTCTTTTATTTATGTGTTTTCTTTTATTATTACTTCTTGTTACATTAGGATTTTCCTTATGTTCGTAAGTCTTGGTACGTAAGTCTCCTATTCCCACTAGGCAGTATGCTACGCACAATTAATTACTTTAGTTTGTTTCCTCCTAGAACTGGGTTGTAAGGAGTATTATTTATACCCTATGCAGCGCTATTCAAAGGAGCATCGGGAATAAAATTCAGATTGATTAGCTACAGTAGCTTGGGCAACGGATCCAGCCGTTGATTATTCTGGGCAACGGGTTACCCCGTTGATTGTTATTTTCCTGTTCTTATCAATTGGTCCGACCTGCCGGATCCCGTCCCGCCAGGATGACGAGATCTCAGAACGATCGATTGACTGAGTTAGAGACTGAGCAACACCGAATGGGAGAGGAAGTGGGCCGACTGGGGGCTGAGCTGGCAGATCACGGTGCCAAGCTAACGGAAATCGCCGCCTCTCTGGCCGCGCTGACTCAGGCCCTGGTGCCGCCGAAATCGCCGGTTGCCGCTGCGGCAGGAGTCGGATCCGCCTTGATATCGCCGACCGTAGAAGGAGTGCTACACAACCCGGCTCCAACCTTGTTACCCGCATTTGACGGAACAGACCCAATCGGGTGGATAGCTCGTGTCGAACAACAATTTGAATTAATTGGAACTCTACCGGATAAAAAGGTGGCAGCCGCCGTGGTGTCCATGGAAGGAGGGGCCCTTTATTGGGTAACCTGGTTGAAGGCGCGTAAACCCGGCATGACTTGGGAAGAATTTAAGCAAGCCCTTATAGCGAGATTCGATTCCCGATTCCAGGGGAACCGATTTGAACGATTGTCTGGCATCAAACAACTTGGGACCATGGAGGAGTATAATGACTTGTTCGTTCAATTGGCTAGCCAAGTTCCGGGGCTGACTGATGATCATTATCTAGGCTATTACATGAGCGGACTTAATGAAGCAATACGGAGCTCATTACGCTTATTCCGACCGCATAACCTTGAAACCGCTATGGAATTAGCTCGCGATGTGGAGCATAATCTGTCCATCCAAAGTGGAAAAAGTGGCAGCCCGTATTATACTTCTTCAGGGGTACGTCCCAATAGCTTTTTAATGCCAATCACAAGACCTCCGTTGACTGCAAGTGGTGGCAGCATACAAGAAGAGAATAACAGCTTTTCGAAAGATAGTGGACAGCCCCCGGGGATGAAGTCAGGACTGTCCAGGCAGCTTACTACACGCCCTCAGTTCACTCGACTTCCACCGAAAGAGTTAGCTGAATTGCGGGCGAAAGGATTATGCTTCAGGTGTAAGAAACCATTTACACCAGGACATGACTGTCCCTTTAAACAGTTGCGGGTAATGATAGCTGAGGAGGATGAAGAGTTGGACCTCCAACAACATGAGTACTGTGAAATAACCGGCCAAGAAAGGGTTCAGGAAGGAGAGGAAGGATATTTTCCAGTCTATTCTATGGCTAGAAATTTCAATACCCATTCTGCAAGTTTTCAACCTTGAGGACAAGGTTAATTTGAAGGAGGATGAATTGATATGAAGCGGGAAGAGCATGGGGCGGGACCGGGCTTGGGCCCACTTCCGTGGGCTGGTTATGGGCTGGATTATACATGTGCTGGTTAATTAATTTAATTTCTTTTATTTATGTGTTTTCTTTTATTATTACTTCTTGTTACATTAGGATTTTCCTTATGTTCGTAAGTCTTGGTACGTAAGTCTCCTATTCCCACTAGGCAGTATGCTACGCACAATTAATTACTTTAGTTTGTTTCCTCCTAGAACTGGGTTGTAAGGAGTATTATTTATACCCTATGCAGCGCTATTCAAAGGAGCATCGGGAATAAAATTCAGATTGATTAGCTACAGTAGCTTGGGCAACGGATCCAGCCGTTGATTATTCTGGGCAACGGGTTACCCCGTTGATTGTTATTTTCCTGTTCTTATCATCTTCCCATTTTGATAGGTGTTTTTGTGTTTGGCGAAGGGGAGGGTTTCTTACTTGATTGTTCAGACCTCTCAACGAGAGCACCAAATGATGGACAGTGTACCCGGGGGGTAGCTTATGCGAGGGGTTATTATGAGAATAACCTAGAGAGAAGTCAGAGCAAACAAGTAGGAGAGAGAGGCGATTGTATTAATGAACTCGAGATGTTCTAGTCCTTTACAATGGGAAAAGGGGGTGCTATTTATAGCAGCAATAAATGCGATGAGAGTACACGTGGCGATAATCTAACGGCCGAGGGGTCACCTCAACCGGGTGGCACTGGCAATCGCATGTGCACCGCATTGAATGCGGTGGGTGGATGTAACGTTGCATTAAATGCGGCGGTTGCTTGTCTCCAAAGGGAATCTTCGATGATTGAGTTGTTGGCCGAAGGCTCCCCCTTCGGTCGAGGGATTTGTATAGCCGAAGGCATGGGAGTGCCGAAAGCTTCCCTGATGCCGAAGGCAACATGTGTGTTTGGCCGAAGGCTCCTGGCAACCGAGGGCTACTGTTTTACGCCGTTTTCTCCCAGTAGCTTCGTATGCTCGAAACCGGCAGCCCTGTGAGATTTGGAGCCTTCGGTCAAGGAGGCCGAAGGCACCTATTCGGGTGCAGTGGGCCTCTCGGGCTTGGGACGCTGTGCTTTGGGCCTCCTATGCTTCCTGGGCCTGTTGGGCCTTTGTAGGAGAAGTAGGAGTCTGTGGGCTGGGGGTTCCTGGGCCATATACTCCATCAGTAAGATTAGGCTTACCTTTGAAAAAGTACCCTACCAGTGCCCTCTTGTGTTTGTCAGCCAGCTTTTGAAGATCCCCACCATTGAGTTTAATCGCATGCACACCCTTAAAACGAGATTTTTCTGGCACCAGTGTAGATCGATCAGCCACTACGTCCGCAAATGATTTCCGAGCCCAAACATTGCCTCCGCCGTCCGGCGGCTGCTTCGCCGATGAGTCCGTCATTCACACTACTTCGATTGACTTCAAACTGTCTATCCAATGTTTCATAGTTAATTCAACTATCATGTCATCATATTCATAACACCCGTGTGAGTGTGTGTGTATGTGTGTTTTATAATTTGATGCACACGTTGACCTGGAGTAGTGATTTAAAAAAAAAATCAAATTCGATTTGGAGTATGCTTTTTTCCGTGTGCGTGTCTGTGTGTTCTTTTTATCCTTTTTATACTATCACTTTGTATTCATCTCTATTGATTTTTTTATCATAGCTTATCTTTTTATCTTATATTTCCTCAGTCCCATATAAAGGTTCACATCCACTATTCTCCGAACAACATGCATTGTTCTTAAACTTTTACTATATATATCCAACTTTTATCAAATTTCATTTTTTTTAATCAAGCATTATGGAAATTTTAATATAATTTCTGAATACGTAAATTTTATTTACTAAAAATAATTCTATTAATGACGGGGATAGTGTTGGACCCGGTTCAGGCTGCCCGGCCCGGCCCGCTACTGTGCAGGCCCGGAACCGGCCCGGTTCTCGGGTCCGGGTCCGGTTCAATGCCCGAACCAGTGGGGGGGGGGGGGGGGGGGTCCGGGCTCGGGGCTTGGTTTTGGCGACCCGGCCCGGCCGGGTCGGGCCTGGGTCCGGACCTAACGGCCATAATTTTTTTAAAAAAAATCCTTTGAATTCTAAAGAGCCGTTTGGCTCTTGACCCACATCCCAAACGGCTATATAGCCGTTGGGTGGGTATCGGGGGGGTCCGGGGCTTTTGGGGGGTTGGGGGGGTTAAAAAAACCCTATAAATACTCCTAATTTTAAACATTTTTTCACACCTCTTCTCCAACTCTTCCTAAATCCTACTCTCTACTCTCTACTCATCTCCATATTCATCTTCTCAAATTCTCTTATTCTCCATTATATTTTATTTTACTATTTAATACTTATACAATTATTATATCTACTTATATATTAATTATCTACTTATAAATACATATACTATATTACTTATATTTCTTATCTACTTAATCTCTACTTATTATCTACTTATATCTAATTAATACATGCATACATACTACATCTACTTAATATATACTTTATATATTGAAGTATTAAATATACTTTATAAACTATTAGTATATACTTAATACATAATAATATCTACTTCTCTACTTATATTTCTTATCTACTTATTTTCTTATTCTCCAATCTCCATTATACTTTACTATTTAATTCTTATACAATTATTATATCTACTTATATATTAATTATCTACTTATAAATACATATACTATATAACTTAAATTTCTTATCTACTTAATCTCTACTTATATCTACTTAATACATACATTCTACATCTACTTAATATATAGTTTATATATTAAAGTATAAAATATAAGTGTATTACTCATCTTATAGTAGTATACTTATATATTATATACTATAAACATTATATTATATATTAGTTACACTTTAATTAATATCACCTAAAATAATTCTATTACTCATTTGCTCCCATTAATTACTATACACATTCATACATTTGTCTTATTACTTACATTTTGTATTAAAATTACTTGATTAGTTAATTAGTATTCCCACTAATTGTTACATTTTTCATTATACTAGTTAATTAGTTAATTAGTATTCCCATTAATTGCTAAAACAATTCTACTTTAAAAAACTAGTTAATTGTCATTATAGTTAAAGTCACCCACGGCAGTAGCACCCACCACCGGCGCGGCAGCTCTCTCCGTCAGCGCACGGGTGGGCTTTTTCGGATTTATCTTTTCTTTTGGTGCGTGTAATCCAATAATCGTGATGGTTGGATTGTAATGTTGGATCGGTTTCAATTTCATTCATTTCATTGGTTTGTTATTTTTGGGATCCATATGATAATAATAAATTCTTTCATTCAGTTTAAAAAAAAAGTTAAAGTCACATTATAATAGTTTGAATTTACATTTGAATGAAAAAAGAGTAGCTCAATCATTTTATTAAAGTACTTAACATTTTATTAAAGTAGTTTTCACTAAATTAAAGTACTTGAAAAGTTGTTAAAATTTAATTACTCACATTTTAGTTAAAGTCACACTTGTTAGTTTTAAGTATATATTAAAAAATACTATTGATTAGTTCGAATTTTAATTTGTATTTTAGAGTCACACTTTAATTCACTACTTAATTAAAATACTTCACATTTTATTAAAGTAGTTTTCACTAAATTGGTTTGAAGTATTAATTAAAATAGTTTTAATTAGTTGCATTACTTTTGTATTCATTATTATATTTGTTGCAAATTAATATTTGTTACATTTTTAAGATGGAAGGTGGTAGATATTCGGTTGATTTGGGTAACCTCGAGCGCAACCGAAGGAACGAGATTGGGAGGACGAAATCCCGCAAAGGTAAAGAACTTGCCGGCTCTTCATCTCAAAGTCGAGATGATTTTGAAACGGGTTACCAAAGGAGGGATGAAGATGCGATGTCCGAAGAACAACTACAACAAGAATTGGCCCGACATAATAACCGCTTTCTCCAACAACAACAAATCCCGACCACCATTGACGAAGATGAGCTTGAGCATGAAGATGCGGAGGAAATGGAACCGGAGACGGCCGAGGAGGAGGGTGGCGGCATCCACGACGCCGACGAGTCTGCCTCATCCCAAAGCGCCACCGGTAATAAAAAAAGTAAATCTGAACTAATGAAAAATAATTTTGATAAGTGGAAGGATGCACAAACCGGGTATTGGCACGCAACTTGCAAGTGGTGCAACAAAAATTATAGCTTGGGGACCTCCGGCGGATACGGATCCGCCGCAAGGCATCTTAAGGCAAAGCACCCCGTGGAGTATGCAAAATTAGGCGGCGGAACGGGGAAGCAAACTCAAATATCGAGGTTTGCGAATTTTCAACCTTTTGGTAATTTCTCATACAATGATGCACAAAATTTGACTGGTATGGCTTACTTAGTTTGTGAAGAAAATTTGCCTTATATGTTTTCTGATAGTCTTGCTTTAAGAGATTATGCATGCGGTAGTTTAAATCCTCAATTTACAGGTTATAGTCTCAAAACTGTTAAGAAAGAAATTATAAGGCTTTATAAAGCGGAAAAGGCAAGGTTACAATTTTTTTTGCAAACTTTGATGGGCGTGTTGCTATTTGTTCTGACATACGGGAGGATGATTTTCATCATATAAATTATTTGGGTCTGACTGCTCATTATATTGATGATGATTGGAATATGCATAAATGTGTTCTTGCTTTTCGTGAATTTAATGATCGTCACACCGCTGAACATATTTATATTTTGATTGAGCGTAATTTAATTGAGTATAATTTGATTGATAAGGTGTTTGTTATTGGTTTCGATAATGCTACTAATAATACTGCTGCTATACCTAGATTGTGTGACTTGTGTGATGCCAATACTTTGATGTGCATGCCATGTTTTAAATTTATGTCTGCAAGACGGTCTAATGGCAAACTTATTTGACTGAAAGGGGTGTGAGATATGTTGCTTTTCCTAAAGATTTGAGTATTCGTTGGAATAGTACTTATAAATTACTTAAAGTTGTTCTTAGATATAAAGAACATTTTCCTGCTTTTTTAAAACAACATGATAACTATATTATAAATTCGGCTGAGATCGACACTTACGAAAAAAATTGTAATGTTTTGATTTTTTTTAATGCAACTGAAACTTTAGTCATGTTTATAAACCTACCGCAAACCAATTTATTCGTGAAGATGTTAATCTCGCCGGTGCTTTTAGAGAATTTGAGAATGCCGTTTACGTGAGTTATTTTTGTGATTTTATGAAGGAAAAGTTTTTAAAATATTATGCACATATTCCGCATATTTATGGTATTGCATTTATTCTCAATCCTCGTTTTAGACTAGCTAATTTGGAAGATTGTTTCAAGTTCTATTATCTTGCTTTTTTTTTTGGTGAATTTCCAATATATGACGATAACCCCATAGATCCGAAAACGGAATACAACGATGTTAGTGCTTTATTTTATGTCTTATTTAATGAGTTTCGCGCACAATATGGCAACACTCCCCCTCCCCCGACACGAACATCTTCATCTAAAGGAAAAACGATTTTTAAATCTGCATTTGACAATCTTATGAAAAAAAACTAAAACAACTCATGTTACTGAACAAAGCGCAATAAATGAGATTACTTTGTATTTAACATATGAAGTTGAATTTGAAGAAAACGATGACTTTGACGTTCTAAACTGGTGGAAGTCAAAAGAAAGAACGTTCCCGATTTTAGCACGGATGGCTAAGCAAGTGCTATCAATGCCGGTTTCAACAGTTGCTGTGGAACAAGAATTTAGTTCGGCCGGCAACGTCCTAACGGCATCTAGAACGAGATTGAGCGCGGAGTCTCTTGAGACGCTTATATGCTACCACGATTGGTTGAAGGCCGCACGTAGAACTCAAGAAATGAGCATCACCCCCTCCCAAGACTTTATGGATGACTCAACAACCGATGGTGGCTCTACCTGTAACACTTGAGATTTAATATAAACGGATTAATAGTACTACTCATACAAACAGAGGTGCATCTCCTTTTAAGGGAGCTCATCACCCAAGAACTCCAAAGTTAAGCGTGCTTGCACGGGAGTAGTCTTGGGATGGGTGACCCCCTGGGAAGTTTCTCAGGGCGCGCACGAGTGAGGACAAAGTGCGCGGTAAAGGCTTGTGGTGGTTTGTGGGGACAGTACTATTGGTCTCGAGTAACTACCTCGGGTCTGGTGGGGCCGGGGTGTTACACTACCTATGCCGGAGATTCCCATTTATTAGTATTTTAAAATTTATTATAAAATGTATTTTGTAGCACTTCTCAAATTAATTTGTACTTGTACTTCATATTTCAAAATTGTAAACGTGTACTTCATATTTCAAAATTGTAAATTTGTACTTGTACTTCAAATTAATTTGTAAACTTGTACTTCATATTTCAAATAAATATGCGTTCAGTTTTTCATATGTAGCACTTCTCAAATTAATTAATTGGTTACAAACTTACAACTTAAAATTATTTTTCTAAAGACTGTTTTTAAATTAAAAATAGCTTTACAATATGTAATTTGTTTAAATACTTATACACCTATTTTGTAACATTTGTAAATTATAAATCAAACCACTTTTCTAAGTAAAAATAGCTTTACTTAATTCATTAAATTAATTAATGGTTCGGTGCATGAGTTCTTTAAACCTACAAGAGGTGTGAAACAAGGGGACCCTCTATCTCCTTACTTATTTATCTTGGCTTCTGAGGCCTTTTCTAGAGGTCTAAACTGGCATATTGCTTCTGGTGCAATTAAACCATATTGGCTTGGTAAATTTGGGAAACCGGTCTCTCACCTGGGATATGCGGATGACCTCCTGATCTTCATAAATGGTGATTCCAGATCTATCCTTAGCTTCAATAGGTTTCTTCAACTTTACCAAGCTACCTCTGGATAGGGATGGACCCGGGCCGGGCCGGTTCCGGTTCCGGGCCGGGCCCGGGCGGGCTTTTTTTCGGGTTACATGGGCCCGGAACCGGCCCGGGTTGATACCGGGTCCGGGCCTAACCGGGCCGGGCCGGGCCCGGTTCAATGTTTTTTTTTTTTTTTACTTTCTTGTTATCTCCCTACCCCCCCCCCCTCACCCCCATGCCCCAAACCTCCCTAAAACACCCAGCCCTACCCTAGGAAAAGAAAAAAAATTGAAAAAACCAAAAAAAAAAAAAAAAAAAATGAACCGGGCCCGGCCCGAACCGCCCGGGCCGGTTCAACAAAAATAGGGCCCGGAACCGGCCCGCCCGACCCGCCAACACGGGCTAAAAGCCCGGAACCGGCCAACCGGGCCCGGTCCGGTCCGGGCCCGCACAGTAGCGGGCCGGTCCGGTTCCGGGCCGGTTCAGCCCGGCCCAGTCCATCCCTACCTCTGGACAGGCTGTTAATCTTGACAAAAGCTCTTTTATCTGTGGGAAGCATGCTGCTTATAGATGTCGGTCCATTAAAGACTTGTTGAGGATGCAAAAAACCTCTCTTCCACTCAGATATTTGGGGGTAAATCTGCATCAAGGGGTTAATAGGCATCAGTATTGTCATCATATCATCCAACAATTTGATTCAAAATTCACTACTTGGAAGCAGAAAAACTTATCTATGGGAGGCAGACTGATTCTGATCAAACATGTTTTAGGATCTATTCCTATGCACCTTCTTGCAGTTGACACCCTGCCAAGTAGGATCAAAAGAACATTAGAGAAGAAGATGGCTAATCGTTACATTCCTACACCTGATAATCTTCACAGATTTCAGCTGGTTATTTATCCTACTAGATGTCCCTTTTGCAAGAATCATGGTGAAGATACTGATCATATCTTCTATGAATGTTCTTATTCAAAAAAGATATGGCAGTACTATATGGGGATTTTTGGTATTAATATTCCTTATTCTACTTCTATTAGACAGGTTCTTATCTCCTGGTGGATAGAAGCAGGTTCCAAGACTTTGGCTGATATTTTTAAACATAACCTCCCTGGAATTATCTGTTGGCACATTTGGAAGGTATACTCCTCATATACATGGGGTGCCGAGTCTATTCCAGATTCAGAACAAGTGATCTTTCAGATTAAAAGTTATACTCAAAGATGGGTATTCTCTTTGGAAAAAATCAAAAAACGGAAGATCGAGCAAATCTTATTTCAAGAACAACTGATACCAAAGAACTTCCAGTTCAAGAGGGGCGGATTTCAAATTGTTAAGTGGAAACGACCTACTGACTCGTTTAAATTGAATGTGGATGCGTCGTTCTTACCTGGTACTGCTATGGGAGGAGCCATCTTAAGGAATAGGTTGGGTGAGATGATATGGGCTGTATGCTTCCAGATTGAGGCGAGCTCTAGTGAGGAGGCAGAGTTGAAGGCGCTGGTGCGGGCTACTGAGATGGCCATGGCAGAAGGGAAGGTCAGGGTCCAGGTTGAGACTGATGCACTTCGGTCGTTAACCTGGCTTGATGATGTTTCAGGCAACTGTACTGGGCTGCGTTTATTTAAAAGGAAAGCGACCGAGAAAGGCTACAAGTTTGGACATGTTCTTCGGGAAGGTAATGGGCCGGCCCATTCCTTGTCCTGTAAGCGGATCACACCTGCCTTAAGTATGCTTTTTAATAATGTTGATGACTTGCCCTATGATGTTAAGAGATGCTATTTTTCTGATCTGTTTGGTTTTCCGCATTTCAGATTTTAGTTTTATTTATTTTTTAGGGCTGATTTGTTTTCTAACTCCATTGAGTCTTGGTCTAGTCCCCTCAATGGAGCTTTGTTGTGTTTCATTTACTACCCGCTTAGTTTTGTTTTCTGGGAGGAATGCCTCTCTGGAGGGGTTTTGGTTCGTTCCCCCCCTCTGTCTGTAATTGTTTTTGTTTCTTAATAAAACTCGGTAAATGTCCCCCGGCATTTACCCCACTGATTTTGGCGGTTTGCCTTCCGGGGTAAAAAAAAAAAAAAAAAAAAAAATCATTGGGTTAGTTGGGCTAAACTGTGTTATCCCCAAGAAGAGGGAGGCCTAGACATTAGATCTATTAACGATGTTGAAAAAGCCTTCTCTTTGAAACTTTGGTGGAAACTTAAAACATCCTCAGGCCTTTGGTCTTCTTTTATTGGTTCTAAGTATCCTAGGAATGATGATCTGAGCTCTAAAATTACTGACTCACCTGTTTGGAAGAGAATTTGCGCTATCAACAATTTGGCAGTCTCTTTAACCGAGTCCTCTGATGCTACAGCTCCCCAGATTTTCTGGAAACATTCAAATAATGGTCAGTTTACTATGAAATCTGCTTATAATGCTATTCGACATTCTCTGGGCTCTTTTTTTCTTAAAAACTCCTATGGCATCCTCAACAACAACCTAAGATTAAATTGTTTCAATGGAAACTTTTTAAAGGGGTGCTTCCTATTTCTGACAATTTAGGGAGGTTTGGTAAGGTTATTCAACCTTCAATCTGTCCACTTTGTAGGGGTAATGGTGATTCTACCAATCATCTTTTTATGGGCTGCAGATATTCTAATTCTATATGGGTGTATTTCTCCCAAATTATGAATGTCCCTCTATCCCCTAATGATTCTTCCATTCGCATGAGGTTCCTGGTGTGGTGGTTTGAAGCTGGCAAGAAGAATCTCATTGACATATTTAAGCACAACTTGCCCGGTATCATTTGTTGGTTTATTTGGAAGCTATACACTGACCTTGTTTGGCTGCTTTTCAAAAAGGCAAAGAGATTTGTGATAATATTCTGGCTATGAAGGAATTAACTCACTGTCTTCCTAAGAAAGTGTTGGGTCATAATGTTTTCTTCAAAATTGACATGACAAAAGCTTTTGATCGCATTTCGTGGTCTTTTCTTAAAACTGTTCTGGATAAAACTGGTTTTCACCCTAATTTCACTAATCTTATTCTTAATAATTTGAAAGGGACCTGGTTCTCCATTCTTATAAATGGCTTTCCTTATGGTTTTTTCACCCCCTCTCGGGGGGTCAAACAAGGCGACCCGCTCTCTCCCATCCTTTTCATTATTGTTACGGAAGTTCTCACCAGAAACATTAATCACCTTTACACTAATGGTGGAGGTAAACCTTATTACTCTCACGTTGGTCTTCCTATTATCTCCCACTTAGCGTATGCTGACGACCTTATTATTTTTTCTAATGGCAGTAAGGCTACTTTAAAAAAGCTTTTTAATCTGCTTGGTCAATATGAGAACTGCTCTGGACAGAAAATTAATTTTGATAAAAGCTCTTTCTTTACTGGTCCGAAAACTCCCCCCGGTACTAATAATATGATTAAACATGTTTCCAAAATGAGCAAAGGTAATTTTCCTTTCATGTACTTGGGGGTGAACATCTATCTTGGAAGAGCAAAAAAAAATTATTTTTCACATCATGTGATTAAGATTGATCAACGCCTCAATAGCTGGAAGAACAAAGTTCTCTCCCAAGCTGGAAAGATTATTTTGATCAAACATGTGTTGAGTACCTTCCCCCTTTATACTATGGCTTCCTCCAAGGTCCCTAAAGGTGTCCTTAAGGACATTGAAAACCGCTGCAATAAATTCCTTTGGCAAAAGGAACATAAGTCCCCTTCCTCTTTTAGATGGAGGTCATGGACTAAATGTTCTTATCCTTTTAACGAGAATGGATTGGGCTTTCGCAGGTTACAGGATGTCCAAGACAGCTTCTTTTTAAAACTTTGGTGGAAAAAAGATCAAGGACAAAGCATTTAGGCTTCCATATTTAATTCTTTACGCTCTTGCACTCTGTCTGTTTTTTGGCCGTCCATGGTTTCTGTGTATAATTTTTATAGTGTGAACACTAAAACGGAGGTGCATAATGGTGGCAGCCTGTTTTGGGATTCCAATTGGAGCCCCTACGGGCCTCTCAATAGACTGTCCAATGTTTCCCATGACCCCATCTCTATTCGAGAGGCCTACGATAATATTCATGTTCATGTCAGCGACCTCCCGCTATCTATTAGCACGACCCTAATGAACATTTGTCCATCCTTTGATGAGCTGCCTGACCGTACTCATTGGACCCGAGCCACGTCTGGTGTCTTCACTTTTAGGTCGGCCTATGATGAGATTAGAAAGAAACAGCCCAAAATTAAAAATCTTGAGTTGTTATGGAAGAAGCCTATCCCTGCAAAAATTTCTTTCTTCCTTTGGCGGATTATTAACAATCTTATTGTGTGTGCTGACTCCCTCCAGAGAATGGGCTTTCATGGCCCTTTTAAATGCCCTCATTGCAACCACGATGACTCTATTGAGCATTTCTTCTTGCGTTGTAAGTCCCACGCTCCTATTTGGAGCTACTTTCAGGTCCAGAGTCATCGTTTGGAAGGCAACCTTAAGGATACCATTCT